TATCCCCCAACCTGGCGGTCTGTCTTATAAAAAGACAGTATTGCTGGGTGTGATGGCATCCGCCTGTGATCCCAGTACTCAGGAGGCAGAGCAGGAAGATTGCCAAAAATACAAGACCTTAAATGTAACAAAACAAAACCAACAAAGAAAGCAGTGTCAATTTCATCAAAACTACCAAACAAGATGTGTATACAATGTGTATTGTTTCAACGCTCTAGGACTTCTAGTGACATTCTTCCTTCTCCTTCCCCCACCCCTCATATCTCTCATTGGTGTCTTCCCCCTCCTATCCACTCCTAAACATTAACCTCAGTTAAAGAATTACCTCCATCAGATTGGCCTTCAGGTGAGCTGGTGCTGATTTGTTTGGTTGATGATCAATGCAGGAGGGACCATTCACTGTAGGTGGTGCTGCCCAGAGCTGGTGGTCCTCGGTTGTGTAAGAAAGCAGGCTGAGCAAACCATGGGGAGCAAGCCAGTAAGCCATGTTCCTCCATGGCCCCTGCTTCACTTCAGGCTTCCTGGTTCATCCCATCGGTTCCTGACCTGACTTCCCTCAGTGATGAACTGTTATCTGGAACTATAAGATGAAATTAACCCTTTCCTGCCCTCGTTGCTTTGGTCAGTGTTTTATCACAGCAACAAAGATGCTAGCTAAAACTGCTTCCTTTTTGGAGCAATTTGGTTTTATAATTGTGCTACCAATTTCCAAAATAATGAGCAATTTCTCAGAAGTTAACTATTAGTCTAATTTCTATGTAGTTTGAAAGTATGTATTGCATGATTTCAGTTTTGGTTTTTTTTGTTTGTTTGTTTTTGCAGAGTTGCGTGTTTGACTCTATCATCCTCACTCAACGAACCTGGTTTCATGGCCTGAAATCTAATCAGTTATGGTAAATGTCCCTCATACTCTGGAAATGTGTGCTCTGCTTTTGTTCCAGTGTTCTATAAATATTACATCAAGTTGGGCGGTAGTGTTGCTCAAGACTTCTGTAGCCTTGTTTTCTACTTGTTATATCAATTACAGAAAAGGGAGTGTTACAAGCTGCAGCTAGGGCTCTTTCCCCTTAGTTCTGTTCATTTTTGCTTCAGCTATTTTGAAGCTCTGCATAGATATTTAAGATTAGATAGGGATTAGTACCTGTTAAGGCAGTCTTCCTTCCTTCCTTCCTTCCTCTCTCCCTCCCTCCTTCCCTCTTTCCTTCCTTTCTTCCTTCAAGACAGGGCCTCACTAATAAGGCTGACTTCCAATTTGCTATCTTTCTGCTTCTGCCTCTCAAGTAGCTACACACACAGGCACACAACACAGTGCTCAGAGCAACTTGTCGTGTGTGTGTGTGTGTGTGTGTGTGTGTGTGTGTGTGTGTGTGCGCGCGCGCGCGCATGTGCATGAGTTGATGCATACACACATACATGTACACCCGGAGGCCAAATGCTAGGAGTCTTCCACCATTGCTCTACCTTATTTATGTTTTTTGAGTCAGGGTCTCTCATTGAATCTGGAGCTTCCTGTTGTTTGGGCTGACTGGCTGCCCAGCAAGCCCCCAGGATCCATGCCATCCCCCAGCACTGGGGTAACAAACATGCACCACCATGCCCTTTTTTTTTCTTGGATGCTGGATATCCAAACGCAGGTCCTCATTCTTGTGCAACAAGCACTTTACTAAGTCATCGCCCCAATCCCAAATTTATTTTTTAATTGGCATGCTTTAAACTTTGGACCAGTTCCAGCACAGAGGAGTCAGAAGCAGGTAGATAGATCTGGACTACACAGTGAGTCCTTGTCTTAATCAATCAATTAACTTTGGACCCCATACTCTCAATGTAATTATTAACAACTTAAGCATCTTATTTCTAAGAACCCTAGTGTTTGTTTCTTTCCCTATATTCTTTGCACTGTATTTTCCCTTTTAATGTAATTTTTAAATTAAATTTTAAATGTAAGTGATAAACCATCAACATTATACCAATTTTTGGGTGTGATGCAATGTTTTAATACATTTGCACTGTGTAATGTTTAGACATTACACATTTTCATTAAGTAAAACAACGGTTCACTTAATTTCCAATTGTGACATTATGTAAAATGATTCCCTCATTAACATCCATATAATACAATGAAAATTTTTATTCCTTGCATTATAAGTGCCATTTATCAAGGATACAATTATAAAAACCAACCCATCATAGCAGATTATATTGGTTAGAATATTAAATCAATAAATGTATTTTCTTAATTAAATCCAATCTATTGTTCTTGGCAAGATGCTTAAAGTAGGCCAGGGACAGACCAGATCCTGGGGCTTGACAAGGGCTTGAAAGACAAAAGTTGGTTTCTTGAAAATAATCATTGCTGTTATTCTAATTAATATGCAGTGGGCTGAATGTTTGTGTCCCCCTAAAATATATTGCCACTTCCACTGTGATGGTATCTATTAAGTCTCAAACCCTGGAAACATGGGAGAGAACAGCCAGGAGCAGGGACATCTGGTCATGTTCACTCTGGACTCACAGATGTCCCTGTCTCTGGCTCTGTCCTCCCTTTTATCTACAATAAATTTTCTTCTCCAGCATACCTAGGGGCAGTCATGTCTGAATTTCCTTTTTATTTCTCTTCTTCATTCATCTGGTGCCAACACCTGGGACCAGTCATGTCCTTTTTTATTTCTTTTTTTCATTCAGTATTTAGAGGCAAAGGTTTGGGAGATTAGCTGATTGGAGCTGTCATGAATGGAATTAGCTCCTTATAAAGAAGAGGCCAGAGTGAATGAATTCCCCTACCCTAGTGCAAGAATCCAACTTCTATAAACAAGAAAGACAGCTCTCACCAACAAACCAACTGTGTTAGCAATTAACTGCAGTTCCTTTTTTCTTTTTTCCTTTTTTCTCAAGACAAGGTTTCTTTGCGTAGCTTTGGAGCCTATCTCAGCACTAGCTCTGCAGACCAGGCCGGCCTCGAACTCAGAGATCAGCCTGCCTCTGCCTCCCGAGTGCTGAGATTAAAGGTGTGCACCACCACGATGTGACTTTTTCTATTTTATTTTTTTGTGCATTGGTGTTTTTGCTTGCATGTGTGTCTGTGTGAGGGTGTCAGATCCCCTGGAACTGTAGTTACAGACTGTTGGGAGCTGCCATGTGGGTTCTGGGAATTGAACCTAGGTCCTCTGGAAGAGCAGCCAGTGCTCTTAACTGCTGAGCCATCTCTCTAACTCCCTTAACTGTAGTTTCTAATGATTCTATTTTACCTGTTTGAAATTAGGATTTCTGCCTCATTTAGGACTGCTTATTCTGATTTATTAGCTTGAGTATTCAAGGAAAGAATATTATCTTCTCAATAAACTATTTAAAAATCTTATTTAACTTTTGTTTTTATGTTTGGGTGTTTTGCTAGCATGTATGTTTGTGTACCATGTGAATGCCTGATGCCCAAGGAGGCCAGAAGGTGTTGATCCTCCTGGAATGGAATCACAAGTTGCTGAGCCACCTTGTGGGTGCTGGGACTCAAACCCAGGCAGGTCCTGTGGAAGAGCAGCCTAAGATCTAAACTGCTAAGCCATCCTGGCTGTCCTGGAACTCACTTTATAGTTCAGGTTGGTCTTGAACTCAAGAGATCTGCCTGCCTCTGTCTCCTGAGTGCTGGGATCAAAGGTGTGTGCCACCAACGCCCGGCTCTCTCACTAGTTAAGACTAAGAATATTCTTAGTCTTAACTAGTAACTTAATGTTAAAGATTTAACATGGGAAAGGGTTCAGTTTATTAAAAAGTATCAAGGTTTTTCTCAGCATGGAAACAGTGAGGATTAAGAGGAGAAAATAGGACTAATAAAAATGAACATGATACACAGGTATATCCCTCTAAACAGCAAGACCAACTCCAGTTTAAAAACCTGGAGGCAGATAGCTGAGGGGGAAAAGATAGTGGCCTTACCCAGTACTGGAACCTGCATGCTATAACATGGACCTGCCAAACAAAATGTGCCTGCTGGTGTAATAGTGGCATGACTGTTATCCAACCACTTTGTTTGGATTTGAGGCCTGCTCCACAGGAGGGAATTCAGTAAGACTGTAGGCCTGGTCAAGTCTATGGCTCAGGAGATCATAGGCCTCAGGAGAGAACTTAACTACCATTGTTTTGCTAAATAGTCACTTTGTCAAACTGTCTTTTAAATATTTATGCTTGTACTCATAGATTATCTTCACCCTCAACCTTGGTCAGAAATCTTTTTTTTGTGGCCAGCAGCCACAAAATATAAAGAATACTAAGTGGTTAAAATGCTGAGAATAAATGTTGTGTGCTCAGCCCTAAGTGGGACATCTAATATCAAGCACTCCACAGAGACATACACAGACAGACACACACACACAACTCATGGAATATCATGGAGAGGGCACAGAAGGAATGGAAAAGGAAAGAGCACAAGGAATGCTGTGTTCTGATGTGACATGGCTGTTGCACTGTGGTTACCTACAAGATTCAGCCAGTCAACATTCCATCATAGATAGTGGAGGGACCTGTGAAGCTTTAACTATAGCCAAGAAAGTACTGGCAACTGATGGCTTATTTGGGGAGAGAGTCATGTTTTTTTTTGTTTGTTTGTTTGGTGTGTGTGTGTGTGTGTGTGTGTGTGCGTGCACATGCATGCGCATGCATGCTGCTGGTAAGTTGTCTTAAGCTTCAGTATACAGCTCCACACCTGTGCACATACAGGCTAACTGGAATAAATATGTCATTTTAAAAAAAAGCCCTCTTAGAACACATTCATTTAAGTTAAATTTGGTAGCTGCCTGCTACATGCAGAATAAACTGCTGCTGGTACCTTAATACACAACATTACACACACACACACACCCCTTATTGTTTTATTTGTTTGTTTATTTATTGAGATAGCCTCACTATGTAGTTTATGCTAGCTTTGAATTCATGATCCTCTTTAGCTTCCCAAGTGTTGGGTACATACATGAAATTTTTTTTCTAATTTTATTTAAGAGTTACAAAAAAACCAAAGTTTTTCCTTACTTTATTAAACCATTCTTTCAAGGACAAACATACAAGTCAAGGACGCTAGAGTGAGGAAATCTTGCTTTTATAAGAGAGAAGTCACCAGATGTCGTCTTCAGTGATGCTTTTTATCTTCAGTGATGCTTTTTATCATCATTCTGGGAAGTCAGGAGATATTCAACCCCTATGGCGACCACAAATGCAGCAGATCCCCATTTGAACCCTTTCAGCAACACGTTCGTGATGGTGATATTCTCTGCAAAGCCACCCATGTATCTCCAAGCCTCATTGCTGAAAAAGAGAAATGATAATCACATGCAATTCACGTTAATTGAGCCAAGTGTATTTGATTTTCTTCTTTTTCAATACTGAAATGCTACATTAGTACCCTTTTTTCTTGTGTTTTTCTCTTTCTGTCTTTTGAAACAGAGTTTCATTATGTAGGCCTGGCTGTCCTGGCAACTCACTATGTAGATAAGGCTGGCGTCGCAGAGCTCCACCTGCCTCTGTATAAATGCTGAGAGTAAAGGCATGAGCCACTTTGCCCAGCCTTGATTTCTTTGTTTTTTGAAATGGGGTCTCACTCTATATGCCAACCTGGCCTCCAGCTTATGGCAATACTGCTTCAGTCTCCCAAGCTGTAAGGCTACAGGCATCAACCACCACACCAGGTTCAAAGCGAGATTATTTACAATTTAAGGGACATATAAAATAATTTACTAGGCCAAAAATTTAGCTAAAACAGGCCGGGCGTTGGTGGCGCATGCCTTTAATCCCAGCACTCGGGAGGCAGAGGCAGGCGGATCTCTGTGAGTTCGAGACCAGCCTGGACTACTAAGGGAGTTCCAGGACAGCCTCCAAAGCCACAGAGAAACCCTGTCTCGAAAAACCAAAAAAAAGGAAAAAAAATTTAGTTAAAACAAAAATTGAGTTAAATAATGAATAGGATATAAAGTCAGTGTGTGAAAATTAATTACAATCTTAATTGTCAACAACACAGTTTAAAATAACACTTAAGATAGTACGAGAAATATGAATAAATTTAACAAAATGTTAAGATCTGTATAAAAGGTAAGAAAATAATGCTTAAAAGTTCAAAAAGTCATAAATCACATGTATTCTTAAAGACTCATTGTTATAGCCACATAAATTATCTCCAAACTGATGTAAGTCCAATAAAAACATGAAAAGATTCCACTATACATTTCTGTGAAATAGTGAATGAGAGTCCAATTAAAATCCAATTCGGCTATTTGTAGAAATTGATGAGCACATACTAAAATTTATAGGCAAATAAAACAAGACCCATAATAGCTTAACCAATGGAAGGTAATTGGAGATCTTATAGTATCCTATTGAAGATTGTGGTATTGGACCTAAGTGCAGACACACTGAACAGAGAAACACAACATCCAGAAATAACCACATGGATATGGTCTATTGATTTTTGACATATTTATCAAAGTAATTCAACTGGGAATAACCTTTTAATAAATGGTCCTGAACCAACTGAGTATCTTCAGATATTTGCCTCCCTTCTTTCTTCAAATAAAATGAAAACTAACTCATGGTGCCAGAGAGCGAGCTCATTAGTGAAAAGCACAGACTGCACTTCAAGAGGACCCAGGCTGGATTCACACCCTCTCCTCATCTCTGCAGGAACCAGACACATGTGTTGTGGTATAATATTTTAAAATGTGCTACATTTGTATATGCTGTGGAACATTTGTTTAATCATGCAAAGATGTGTTGCATTCTTTTATGCTGCATTTGTTTAACTCCTTGAAGTTGTCTTACTTTGCCTGTCTAACACACCTGATTGGTCTAATAAAGAGCTGAACAGCCAATAGTGAGGCAGGAGAAAGCATAGGTGGGGCTGGCAGGCAGAGAGAATAAATAGAAGAAGAAATCAGAAGAAGGAGCAAGAACAAGGAAAGAAGGATGTTGATGTTGGGGCCAGCCACACAGTCAGTCACGGAGTAAGGGGGGAAAGCAAGATATACAGGAGTGAGAAAAGGAAAAAGCCCAGAGGCAAAAGGTAGATGGGATAATTTAAGAAAAGCTGGCGAGAAATAAGCCACTCTAAGACTGGGCATTCATAAGAAATAATAAGTCTTTGTGTGTATTATTTGGGGGCTGGGTGGCGAGCCCCCGAAAGAGCATAAAGCCAAAACAAGTACAATAGCAGCCAATAACACACACGTGGTGCAGACACACATGCAGGCAAAACACACATAAAGATGAGTATGTTTTTTTTAAATAAAAAAACTAACTCAAAGTAAATCATCATGTATAAACTCATGGAAACCATGAGCTGAGTGTGATGATACATGCCTGCTAACCAGTACTTAGGAGGCTAAGACAGGACCATCAAGAGTCTGAGTCTGCCTTGGGTTACACACATAACTGCTCAAAAAGGAAACTGCTAACCAGTACTTAGGAGGCTAAGACAGGACCATCAGGAGTCTGAGTCTGCCTTGGGTTACACACATAACTGCTCAAAAAGGAAACTGCTAACCAGTACTTAGGAGGCTAAGACAAGACCATCAGGGGTCTGAGTCTGCCTTGGGTTACACACATAACTGCTCAAAAAGGAAAAAAAAACTTCTAGAAATATAGGACAAAATCCTAGATGAGATGCAAAAGTAACAGTCACAAAAGAAAAAAATACTTAATTGGGAGTTTATTGGAATTTAAAACATTAAAAAATGAAAAGACAGGCTATATACTGATATATACTCTGGGAAAACATTTACAAAATTTATATATGATGAAGGGTTTATTTTCAAAATATATAAAGAACTGTTATAGCTCATAACAAGAGGTCAAAAGACCTGAGGATATACTGCACCAAAAAACCAGATAGATACATAGAATAATTAACATTATCATCTGTGTTCATGGAATGGGGTGTGACCCACACAATGTTCTGCTGACATATTTACTAGAAGGGCTTCATCTCTTTTACCTTTTTTTGAGACTGACTCTTATATAGCTCAGGCTGGCCACCAATTTGATACTGGATGGTCCTGTAATTCCAATCCCCCTGCCTCCATCTTTCAAAGGCTGTACAAGCATGCAACAACCATGTTTGGTGCTAGAATAGCTGAAGTTAATACACTGAAAACACTACATACTGATGAGACCATTAAGCTACTGAAATTCTCATCCACTGCTGGTAGGCATGGGAGATAATAACACAACTTTAGAACATGGTTTGGAGTTTTTATAAAGACCCATAGACTTATATAATCCAGAAATCTCACTCTTAGGTATTTACATATCCAGATAGATTTGTGAATTGCTGTAGCAACTTTTATTCATAATAAGAACCAAGAGCTGGAAATAATTTGAATGGCTACTGTGGTAAACAAAATGTGTGACTCACACCTTTAGTCCCATCACTCTAGAGGCAGAGGCAGGTGGATCTCTGAGTTTGAGGCCAGCCTGGTCTACAGTATGAGTTCCAGTTCCAGGACACGTTACACAAGAAACCCTGTCTCAAAAACCCAAAACCAACCAACCAAACAACCAAAAACAACAAGAAAAACAAAACAAACAAAAACCAGAAAAACCCAAGGGTAAAAAGTCTTATGAGTTTTATCCCTTGGTACTTAAAAAACAAGCCAATAAAAGAGAAAACTCAGCTCTCTCTGCCCCACAAAATCAACATTAAGTGAGAGGTGTGGATGAAAGATGCATTCCACAGGATTCTAATGTAGAAGGTATTAGTAAGGAAAAAACTAGAGATAGAAGCAGAGCAGTAATTGCCAGGAGCCAGTCATTGGCAACAGCTGAAAAAGGCATAGATTTTCTGGGATAATAGAAATATTTTGCATCATGATTTCAGTAGTGATTCCATAGTTGCCCATTTGTAAAAACTAACAAAATGATAGAGTTAACTTTAAAATGGCTGGGCAGTGGTGACGCACACCTTTGATCCCAGCACTCGGGAAGCAGAGGCAGGTGGAGCTCTGTGAGTTCGAAGCCTGCCTGGTCTACAAAGCTAGTTCCATAACAGCCAGGGCTACACAGAGAAACCCTGTCTAGAGATGTCGCTCCCCAAAAAAGCCACTTTTCAGAAAATGAAGTGGAACAAGATACTGACTCTCTAAACTCACAAACCACTAGATTTGGGTCAGGGAGATAGCTCAGTGGGCAAAAGTACTGGCTGTGCAGCTTTACCCCCAGAACCCACATGGTGGATGGAGAGGCCTCCCTTGAATCATATCTATCTGCATACTTGCACTGTGGCAGATACGGGCAAGCATTCCTGCCCCGTTATACAAAGAAATAAAAGTCACTTCAAAAGAAGACATTTTCAGACTCATCTTACCGAGCCCAAGGATCCCTCAGCCCTCGTGCAGCAAGTTTTTTCTGGACTGTTTCTAATGGTGTTCCTTCTATTTTCCACTGTTTGTAATCTGGAAGTACCAATTTACCATGATCATGACCGTGACCGTGTCCATGTCCCTGTTCGTGTCCATGCCCAGGGGCCATGTCTATAGGAAAAAAGTAAAAAGAAGGGAAAGAAGTTGTAGATATCCAAGAGTCAAATTTGATGTTTACAAGTGAAATGTTTTGAAAAAAGATAAATGCCTGAAAATTCTGAGTAGAAAGGTTTTTGTTTGTTTGTTTGTTTTCAGACAGGGTTTCTCTGTGGCTTTGGAGGCTGTCCTGGAACTAGCTGTTGTGGACCAGGCTGGTCTCCAACTCACAAAGATCTGCCTGCCTCTGCCTCTGGAGTGCTGGGACTAAAGGTGTGCGGCACCACCCCTCTGCCCGGCGAGTAGAAAGCTTTTATAAAGTATACTATTAACACTCAGAAGGAAGGCACAGGTGGAGCTCTGTGAGTTGCAGGACAGCCAGGGCTACAGAGAGAAACCCTGTCTTGAAAAGCCAAAACACGCATGAAAAAAGAACATTTGAATACCAATGGCCACCAATTCCTCTCCTGGGTTTGTGATGTTTTTGTTAGGTAGCCACTAACATTTGGGACGTGGCTATGTAGCTAAGGAACTAGAAATTTCACTTAATTTAAATTTCAAAGTAAATTCTTTTTTAAAAGATTTTATGTGTGTGTGTGTGTGTGTGTGTGTGTGTGTGTGTGTGTGTGTATGACACGCATGGCAGTGCCCACAGAGTCGAGGGAGGGTATTGGATCCCCTGGAGCTGAAATAGTAAGTAGGTGATTGTGAGCTGTCTGGTGTGGGTACTTGGAAATGAACTCAGGTTCTCTGAAGGAGTAGCAGGTATCAAAGCAAATTCTAAAATCAGTAAGATAATATTAGAGTGTCTTTGGAATTATCTGGGTATATGAGTATACTTTTTTTCAAGTGTATTTTTTCTTTTTTCTTTTTTTTTTTTTTTTGAGACTGGTTTCTGTGGGTGGCTTTGGAGGCAGTCCTGGAACTAGCTCTTGTAGATCAGGCTGGTCTCAAACTCAAGAGATCTGCCTGCCTCTGCCTCCCAAGTGCTGGGATTGATGGTGTACGCCACCACATCTGGCTTCAGAGTATATCTTTAAATAAGAATATGATATATATCTGTACATATATACATATATATTTTTTACTTTTAGTGTCTACTAGAAAATTTAGTATTACATATGTGGTCTCCATTACATATCTATTGAACATCACTACTTGAGAATTTTCTATATGTACATGACAAGGAATATGTTTTATCAAACATTTTTCTGAATGAAGTACACATAACTTTATCATTGGGATACTCGCCACCCTATCTTACAAGAATATTGTTTTATTTACTTGAAGACAGTCTTTCCTTACTCTGTCTGACCACAAACTTGAAATGAGGTCAGGAATGACTTTGAATTCTCAATCCTGTACGCAAGGGCTAACAGTTCCTATTTTTAAAAGAATCTTTACCTAAAGCCTTATTTGTTTGCGTGTGTATGCGCCCATGTAAAGGTCAGAGGACAACTTAAAGGAACTGATTCTCTCCTCAAGGGAAAAGACAGGGAATTATTTCGCGTTTAGAACCATGCATTTACAAACATCAAAGAAAAAATTCAACAAAGAAAGAACACATTAATTATAGAAAATTTAAAAGCTCTCTGCTTATGTCAGAAGTCAGAAAACTTTGAAGTTAGATGATGACCAACATCCATTACAAGTGGCTTGTTCTAGCACAGGAAGTGTTGACTTACTTTCCCTAAGGAATGTTACTTCCACGACATGTATTTTCTCAGCTCATCAAGGGCTTTCAAGTATATAACTCAATTTTCCCTCACTTAGAAACCGAGAAGACCATAAAAAATATAAGAAAATAAAGACAAATGAAATGCTGTTACTTTAGTACCCAGTCCTTAACCCTGGGAATATGAAATAGGCATGATTTTGTGAGGCATCCGTTGGAAATTTTCTAGTTTAAGTATTTTTGGATCAGGGGAGTGATTTTTACCCAAATACAACCCCAAAATCCAGGAGGCAAGGAGGAAATTGCATGTGGTAGCGGCGGCGGGGGCGATGTGGGGGGGTAATCTCTGGGATTTACCACTACAGTAATTCTCAGGGCATCCTCCATTCGCCTCCGCTCAACTGTACTTGGCGGCAGCGCTCCCCTCCTCCCGGTCTGAGATGGTCCCTCTCGGCACTCTCACTTCTGCACTTCCCTAAATACAGTCTGGATTATTCCTAATCCAGAGGTCTCCCATCAACTCCCTGAATTACCTGACAGCAATCTGACCTCTCGGGACACTCAAAATTCAACCTTCCAGCTGGAGCCAACCGGAAACGGACGTCGTCTCCTCGAGTTCCTTACGGCAGGAACGCGGAGGAGATGTTAAGCGTTCCGGTCCTGGCGCAAGGCTCCCAGACAAGGTAGAGATGGCATAAGGGAGACTGGAAATTGACGTCGTTCTCCACACTTTGCAGGTGGAATCCGACTGGGGTAGAAGGTGCTGAGAAGAGGACGGGGAAGCCGTGTTTTCCTTGCTGCCGGGAGGAATATTTAGGTGGCGCACCGGGGGGCGGGCTGAGGCCATGGTGCGGCCAATGAGAGCGGCCGTTATTAAGCGCGTGGGCCCACTCAATGAGAGGGCCGGTTGTTATGCTGCAGTTGGCAGGCTGCTGCGGGAGGCGGTGGCGGTAGGAAGCCTGAGGCTGCGGGGTGACAGGTAGGCGGCGGTGCTGCTGTCTTAGGGGGGGCGCTCACAGTGCCGGGTGAAGAGGGTTTTCTTCTCCGGCTGCCGACGCGGTCGCCGGGAGCTGACGAAGGTGTGGTGGGGAGGCGGCAGCAGGACTCTTGGCGGATCCGGAGCCCTGCGGACCTGGTAGCAAGCTCGGCAGAGTGGTGAGAGAAGGCGGCTGCCGAGGCGGGTTGGGGCTGAGTGTTGTGGGGCGACTTGGGGGCCTAGCAAGGGCGTGAGGGTGGCAGTGGCGCGGACTGAGGCGGGGAGGAGGCGGGAGCAAGGCACAGGTAGTGAGGGCTGAAGGAATTTCTTGCAGGAAGCCTCGGGCAAGAGAAGGACGCGGCATTGCAGACACCTGAGTGAAATCCGAGGGGTTGTTCCCAGGGCCGTTTCCTGGGATAGGGAACGGTGCGGGGAAGAAAGATATTTATTGGCGGTCAGATCTGAAAACTAGTGTCCGGACATTATGTAACCCTTGGCAGTTATTTTTCCAAACAAGTCGACTGACCCTCGTGGAAGAGGAGCACTTGCAACCCATTGACACATCTGAACACTTTCTTCTTGTTGTTGTTGGCGTCAGTGTTTTCTACCCAGGCAGGCAGGCTCCGTAGGAGGAGGACAGCATGAAGGCAAGAGTAGTCACGAAGCGCTTATCCCAAATAAGGACTGGGGTTGAGAAATGACACGACGTTAGCTGGAGATGGGTGTTTTGTAGTACACGAATTTGCTGCTTTGCGGCTCAAACATGTTTAACCTCCAGAAAAGTGGAGAGCCTTATAAGTCTATGGAAGAAGGTAAATGCAGATTAAAAGATGGACAGTAAATTAGTTGGCAGACAACTCGTCCCCAGTGTTTGGACGTTAAGGGCTGTGAAAATAAGATGGGAATCTAAACAGGAGCGTCAACTTTTAAGTGTTTTGCTTTGTTAAATCTGAGAAGCCAGTTGTGCGTTATTTCCTAGATTAAAAAAATGTCTTTGACTTAGGTTTAAAAATGTATTTGCAAGTCAAAGACTATTTTGTCTTGAAAAGTCTTTTAAATTTACAGTTTGCATGGTGAAATACAGTACTAAAACAAACTCCTGTCAGCGTGTATTGTGGAAGGGCATTTGATTTTATAACTCATTGGAAAACTCATCTTAAAAGACTAGAAAACATTTTAAAAGGCACACTATAAATTATTGAAATTTAAGCTCTTTGGGATGCTGCCTTCAAGTTAGAAGGTAAGAAGATAAGTGTAGTATCTTTCTGGACTTGTTTTGAGCTACATATTAGGAAAACTTTCTAAGATCTGATTTTTTTTCTGCTATTGGTCATTTATGTTAGTACATGCTATGTTGGTTTTTTAATCTCTCAGAATAGCATTTGAAAAGAAATGGGTCATTAGAATTTGTTTTGAAATGTCCAGAGCACTGAGGTATTTGTTAGTGCTTCAAATAAAATTTTAAGAATGATACTTATGTTTCATTCCTTGTGTTTTATCTTTTTACAAGAATAATGCTGTCTTAGTCACAAAGAAAACTTATATTTTTGCTTTAGGTGAAGTGCTATAATGCTTGACACACCTGTAAATAACTCTTTGCCTTTAGTTAGATTGATTTAAGAGAGAGTGTGTGTGTGTTTCTGTGTATTTCTCTTATGTAACCAGTCTACTCTAAGCTATCTTAGAGAACTAATGGCTGATTTTCAGTGGCCAGTAGGTGTCATTGTTGAATGTCATAAATCGAATAGGCAGTAGGGAATTACCAAATAGTTTATAAAAAACACTATCCCAAATTATCATCTAATAGTATCTGGGTGATTATTCATAAATCATATTCTTGTTTTCTGAAAGCTTTCCATGTCAAAGCTGTTTGTAAGTAATTTTAAGGAAATATTATTGCTTGCTTCAAAATAGATCTTGGAAGTTTTTTTTTTTAATATAACCCTTGAGCTGTTTTTTTTTTTTTCAGTCTCACTCTGTAGAGCAGGCTGGCCTTACAGATATCCACTCACCTCTGCCTCCTTAGTATGGGGATAAAAGGCATGTGCCATCACAGCCAGTCCCAAAAGCTCTTAATAGGTAGTATGGATTTGTTTCATTCTTGTTAGTACACAGCATTGGCATCTTATTTAGTGTAGTAAGTTCAATGATTTTCAGGATGGCTGAGCTTTCTTATAGAAAAAAACAGTACTACATAATTAAAAACTATAATGATAAATTATGGGCAGAAGCCTCAACCAAATTGTACTGTCAACTACACAAAACAATATTTTGCTGTTCTTTGAATACCAGAATAAGAGATTTATTTTGTGTCTCATTGTTTCCTTTCCTCACCCCCAAAATAGTTTTCCTTTACATTTTTTCCTGGTTAGTAGACCATGTTCTTTTCCCATTATGGGAACCAAATACTTGCCAGTGTCTAAAATGTAATATAGTAGATTTAGTGAGCACTGGCACAAAAATCTATGAAGATTGTTTACACCTACTGTTAATACAGCCCCTTGCTGCTACAGCCTTCTGATGAACTTGTCTCTTTTCTAGCTCTGTTCTTCATGCTTGCTATTAATATAGTCCATTCAAAGGAGACTGGGAAGATGTCTTAGCAGGGATAGCACCTGCCATGCAAGAGTGAGGATTAGAGTTTGGATCTCCAGGACCCACATAAATGCCAGATGGTTGTTGGTGGCCAGTCCATAATCTCAGCACCTCGTAGGCAGAGACAGGGAATCCCCAGTGTGAGCTGGCTAGCTGGACTAGTGAAATTGACAAGCTTTGGGTTCTGCTGAGCATGTGTCAGTGTATATAAGGTGGAGAGTGAATGAGAAAGACACATCAACCTCTGACCTTCACATGAGTCCTCACCTGCCCAGATGATAGCTACACCACACACACACACACACACACACACACACACACACACACACACAGTACACACTAAAGAGTCGGACCTACTTTGAGAATCCTCTGTAAAGATAGAGATGTCTCAAAATAGTCCAGGAGGTTTTTTTTAGTTTTTCAAAAAGGGGACACACGCATATATTTTGTCTGTGCTTCCCTTTAGAATCTTGGTGAAGGGTGGGGTATGAAGGAGGCAGATACATTTTACAAGGAAACAAATTCCTGAATGATTTGGTTTATATCTGGCCTTCACTTTAGAATCTTTTGTTAAAATCAACTTCTGTCACTTGGTGTGGTATGAACCAGTAACAACAGCTTTAGCTACTAAATCTACCAGTATTTTGTAGCTCAATAAACTGTTTCCATTTAAAGTCATAGCTAGGGCAGTTTTTCTAGCTGGAAGTTGAAGTCACCAAAAATAAAGATGTGGTAAATGTTTTGGTTTGAATTAGTTTTTACTTGGCACTTAACTACTTTCCATAAGTCAAGCAATTTTCTTTCACAAATTAGTTCTGTACTAATTAATTTGCACAGATATTTACTCACCTTTTTTCATAATGTGTCGTAAGGCTATATTGTCCTTGAATTAAATTAAAATTGAGAAATAAGAATTGCAAGTTTAGCCTGGTGGTGGTAGTGCAACCCCTGTAATTCAGGTGCTTGGAGGCCGCTGCAGACGGATTGGGTTCGAGGCCAGCCTGTTACTACAGATTGAGTTGTAAGACAGTCAGGGCTACACAGAAAAACCTTATTTCAAAAAAAAAAAAAAGCCTTAAAAAACTAATTACAAAATAATTGCAAATTTACTTGAATAAACAGTTTTCAGTGGAACTTTGATGTAATTATGTAGATTGATATTTGAACAATATTCACTCAATAATATGTAGTAAACTTAGTTGCAAATCATTTGATCTTAATATGCATGGGTCAAGTTTAGAAATTCATGGACTTTATTTAGAACTAATGTTTGGAGATTTGGCTGTTTGGTGACAAGTATTGAAAAAGGAGTATAAATTCAGAGGTGTAATATATATAGTGATTTAATTATTCCTTAAATTATAGTAATTTTTAGGTTTGAGGATTAATTGCCAAAATAATAGTCATAGAATGTGGTAGTGGACACTGAAATTGACTGATAAAAATGGTCACTGAATAGTCATTTTCTTATAGAGTAACTGTAGCCTTCAACAATTTTAAATAAGGTAATTCATCATCCATCACATGACTTCCTTTTTTTTTTTTTTGAGACAGGTATTACTGTGTGACTCTGGTTGGCTATAAATTCATAAATATCATGCCCTTTCCAGAGTGCTGGGATCATGGGTGGCACTAACCGCACCTGGCTGTATTTTTTCTTTTATCGTCTTTTTAATGTACTGAAGCTGGAATCCCAGTGATATCTTTGTTGTTGTTTGCTTTTGCTTTTGGGTTATTTTGAGACGGGGATTCACTAGTACTCCAAACTGGATTTGCCTCTGTCTTCTAAATGATGGGATTACAATTGTGCTTCATGCCTGGTTTTGTAATGTTTCCTTTAGCATGTTATTAATGGGACTGAAACTGTAACTCTTTAGCTCTGTCAGCAGAATGTTTAGCTGGGTTCAATCTCATGTACATCATAAACCAGACATGGTGGCATACACCTGTGATCTAAGTAAACCTTGGTTCTTTTAAAAAGGGATTTGTTACTGTGTAAACACACATGCTTTTGGGGGGATGTTGTGTGGTCAGAGGACAACTTTGAGGTTCTCTTCTTCTACTGTGGGTTTTGGGGGGATTACATTTAGGCTTACATGACAAGCACATTTTGCTTTCTGAGCCATCTCATCTCTGAGCTAGATATCCTTGGTTCTGTCAGCTTTTTCTTTTCTTTAATCATTTACTTAGTTTTGTTTTGAATACTGTACTCATGTCCTGAATACTGACTGGCCTTGAACTCCTGATCTGCCTCAACCTCTCAAGTGCTGGGATTGCAGCTGTGTGCCATCAAATACAGCTATTTTGTTAACCAAGCGGTGATGGCACTTGGGAGGCAGAGGCAGGTGGATCTCTAAGTTCAAAGCCAACCCAGTCTACAGAGAGTTCCAGGATAGCCAGGGCTACATAGAGAAACCCTGTCTCCTTGTCTCAAAACAAACAAAAGTACTTTATTTAGTTTGTGTATGCATGTTTGTATGTGTGGCTCACGTACAGCACGTGTGTGGCAGTCAGAGGCCACTTTGGGGAGTGGGTTCTCCTTTTGTCATGTGGGCTCAGAGGATGGAGCTGTTTATCACACTTACACTTCACCCACTGCCATCCCACCTGCCTCACTTCATGTTTTAATTGGCACATAGTTATACACATCTATGGGGTACTATATGACAAGATCAATTTTTAAAGATTCTATATGTGAGTGAGATTTATAACTAACATTTAACATAATGTACTGCAGGTTTATCTATGTTGTCACTGATGACAAGATTTCACTCTTTAACTCAATAATATCTAGTATATATGAGACACATTTTCTTTATTCATTCAGTAGTTGGTAGACTCAAGCTGATTTTGTTTTTTGGTTATTGTGAATAGTCCTTCAATGAACACGGGATACCACTGTCTCTCCATACTGATTTCTATTGGATTGTTAGCTGGTCTTTTATTAGGGATAATGAAACTTTGCATATTTGTATTTTATAATGTATTATGTAATGCTTTATGTGGATTTATGGAGTAAGTCACTGAAGGACCAGGTTATTTTCCATTTTCTTTAAAATGAAAGACAGTCAAAAGACTAAGGGTGTGGTTTGGCAGTAGAGCATTGGCATGGGCTGCAAGGTCCTAGGCTAATGTGGACAGTGTGAACAAAAGAAAGTCCATAAATGACACAGTCACTGTAAGAATTTATGAAAAGTTTTGCTAGGACATCAAATAAGAATTTAAAGATGTGGGGCTGACAAGATAGCTCAGTGGATAAAGGCTGTCACCTCCAAGCCTGATGTTCTATGCTCAGTCCCCAAAACCCACATCAGGGTGGAAGGAGAGAGCCAACTCCTAAAAGTTGTTCCCTTGTCTCCACAAGTAGAGTGGCATGCATTCGTGACCCATATACACACTACACACAAAAGTAAGTAATTGTGAAAATAGGTTAAAATTTAAGACACAAGTGCAAAGCTAAGCATTGGTGGTGCATGCCTTTAATCCCAGCACTCGGGAGGCAGAGGCAGGGGGATCTCTGTGAGTTCCAGGCCAGCTTGGGCTACAAGGTGAGTTCCAGGACAGCCTCCAAAGCTACAAAAAACCCTGTCTTGAACCTCCTCCAAAAACCCCAAACGAACAAAAAGATACAAGTACAAAAGACAGTAAATGGAAAGGAAGTATGAAGGATTTGTTCAAAATTTTCATGAATTAAAAACATGGGATAATGAGAATCAGCCTTAACTTTTGATATATCAGTGTTTCTTCAAGCTTAAATCTGAGTCAGTTTTTCCTCTTAAAAAAAAAAGAACTAGTGCAACTTTTGAACAGCTTTTTAAATTTTTAAAATTTATTTTATGTGCTTGGTGGTGGTGGTGGCACATGACTTTAATCTCAGCACTCAGGAGGCAGAGGCAGGCAGATCCCCGAGAGTTCAAGGCCAGCCTGGTATACAGAGTGAGTTCCAGGACAGCCAGGGCTACACAGAGAAGCCTTGTTTCAAAAAACCAAATTTATATATAATGTGTATGGGTGCATGTCTGTGTACTGTGTGCATGTGGTGCACATGGTTACCAGCAGAGGGCGTCAGATTCCCTGAAACTGGTGTTCCAGACAGTTGTGAGTTGCAATATGGGGCAAGGGGGATTGAACTTGTGTCCTGAAAGAACAACCAGTGTTCTTAACTGCTAAGCTGTCTCTCTAGCCCCTTAAACAACTTTTTTAAACATTTTTTTCAATAAAGTGTTTTATTTCCCTAATTCTGATTTTCTTGCAGTTTTGTTTTTCTGGTAACAGTTTTGCAAGCTATGTTACTTTTCTGTGCTATGACCTGCAGTGTTAGCAAGAGATTGCAGTACTGTAGTATGACAGTTCTCAGTGTACTGGACTCCTTTCTCCCTTCCAGCTGAATTGTAGTTGTGGTTGTGCCCTCAGAGAGTAGAGGTTATTCAGTCAGCCTTACTTCCTGCTTGCCCCTTCCATACACTGTAGCTGTATTACATTGAGGCACCTCTAAAGTGGCTGGAGGTGTCTAGTTTGTTGCTTAAGTCACTTTCTTACCAGTTGGAATTATTTTGGTTGCTAAAAGTAGATAAATAACCTCTGCTTAGCCAGGTATGGTAGCGCATGGCTTTAATACCAGCACTTGGGAGGCAGAGGTAGACAGCTCTGAGTTCAAGGACAACCTGGTCTACAGCCAGGGCTACAAAGAGAAACCCTGTCTTGAAAAAAAAATCACTTCTTTGTTTAAATTCTTAAAAATCAGAAATAAATAAACTAGAACCAATAGACCTTAGAGTTGTCAGGGACCCGGGTGCCTTCTTTGTTTCTTCTTTGTCCTTATTTACTTTGTCTTCCATTCTCAAGGTCACTAGTGATACTGGATGGCCAGTTCTAGGCAGGAGAAAGAAAAACAAAGTGAGTTCATTCATCTGTTAAGAAACGTCTTTAGAAACCCTAGGCAGAACTTGATCTTTGTTTTGGTTTGGATTTGTTTTTTCAAGACAGGCTTTCTCAGTATAACAGTAAACTAGTAATCTTTCTCATACTTGCTTCTTTTTTCTCTCTACTGTGTCTGCTATTGCTGTTAAGATATTCATCAATTAAGAATAAAATCTAACTATATATTTCATCTGGAGAACTAGAAATGCAAACCCAATGCTCTGCTTCAGAGAAGTTGTAGTTTAATAGGATTTATAAACTTGTACACAAGTTTCTGAGAAGAAAAAGTATTAAGTTTTTTTAACGTTTATTTATTTATTATGTTTACAGTGTTCTGTTTGCATGTATCCCTGCAGGCCAGAAGAGGGCACCAGATCTCATTACAGATGGCAGTAAACCACCATGTGGTTGCTGGGAATTGAACTCAGGACCTCTGAAAGACCAGCTGGTGTTTTTAACCAGTGAGCCATCTCTCCAGCCCCCCCAAAATTATTAAGTTTTGATGTCACTTTTGCGAAGAAGCTGTACTGGTGCACCACCTAAAATAAGCATTCTGTGTTCCAAGAAACTCAAAAGATGGTTTCAGCACATTTTTCATCTTTAAGGTGTGTTTATCATCTAGAAAAACAACCACCAGAAAATGATACTTGTGTATGGTTCATTATGAATTCATATGACTAAGTTAACCAGTCTCAAGAACCACATGATAAGTTGGCAAGCAGCTCAACAGAGTTAATGATGTAGTTCCTTTCAGGGTCCAAATGTCTAAAAACCAGAGCTGATGTAGATATTCTTCACCAAAATGTTCTGGCTTGAGATCCAGAAAGGACAGTTTTGACCCCCAAAACAACAGCAGCAGCAACAGCAACAACAGATGCTGATATGCTAGGGGAAAAGCATATTCAGGCAGGAAGAGCTCTCTTACCTGGGGAAAGGTTAGCATTTTTGTTCTATTTTGGCCTTCAACTGATTGAGTGAAACCCACCCCAAGTAAAGGAAATATGTTTCTCAAGATAGTTAACTGTCATCCATAGTAACCTCAAAGGAACACCTAAGATAGTGTTTATCTAAATATATGGGTAAATGAGATTAGAAATAGTTTTACCCTGGATGGGACACAAATATGTCATGAAACAGTAATGAGCATATGACAGGGTTCTCTGTGTAGCTTTATAGCCCAGGCTGACCTCGAACTCACAGAGATCCGTCTGTCTCTGCCTCCCGAGTGCTGGGATCAAAGGTGTGTGCCACCACCACCTGACTCACATGATATTTTAATGTCTCTAATAACTATTAACTTAACAATGAAGATAGCTGTAATTTCTGTTAGTATCCAAATCACAGAAAACTTTGTGCCCCCATGTACATTCATAATCTAATGAGAATATAAGTTTTAGTTGTAGATTGATCAAAGAATTAGAACTTTGTTCTTTTTGAAGTATTGAATTCTGTTCACAGCCCTGGGCCCTAGGCTGACAACTTGTTGGGGTGGGAGAGGAGGGCTGCGCTGACAGAGAGAAAAAGTCTGTAAGAGGGTTTCATTTGAGTTGAAAGAAGAGTAGGTTAGTTAGCACACAGTTCAGGGTATTCCCAGGAGGAGAGTAGCTGTAGACTAATGCTTGCAGAAGTGAGACAGCTTGAGTTCTCAGGGAATCGCTAATCAACACTGATGAGGGAATGCTGAATGTAGGGTACATTGCTGTCATGCCTGCACTCAAGCCGCTTATGCAGGAGGGGTACAAGTTCAGTGCCAGCCTGAGTTGTCTAGCAATACCTGTTCCAAAAAATATATAAATAAGGATTGGGACTCTGTTTAATTTATGCCTCAGTCCCTGATAACAGGGTCATTTGTTCATAAGCCTAGTGAACAAGTACTAATTAAACAGAAAACATTTAGCCAAACCATTATATCCATATCTCTGGTCACCTCTGTTTTTAGATCTGTTGGTGTCTTTATACATCGTCTACAGCTGAGCCTACGGGGTATTTCCTTTTCTTCTCCTAGTGGGCTAGTCTTGGTTGTAGAAATGCCAGCTTACTGTATGAAACCACACATAAGCCAAAGTCTTTTTTTCTCTTCTTTTCTTTGGGTTGTAGGGAATTTTACAAGGGTATGGAATAAGGTGGAGGTGACATTTTGTAGAAGTAAAAGCCCTAGATACTAGAGCCCTTCTTTTTCCTCTTACTTGTGCTTTTGTGGCCTGCTGCAGTCTTGTTGTGTAACTGTTCTAGTCAGGGTTAGCCAGTAATGTGGTCACAGTAGTTACAGCCAAACTTCAGATAATAACTTGGGTTTGTTTGTTTTTAAGAAAAAGGTGTATTTATTGCCTTGTAAAATCTGCATGGGCCTGGGTGATTACAGGTGGCTTGCTGTCTTGACTTGGTGGGTCAGCAGTGCATCCTTTTGATTCTGTTATCGGGGTGATATAGCAAGGTACGAATATGCTAGATACTGCTTTCTGGCAGTGAAATTCCATTGTGGAAATCATTTTTACTTTTTGATCACATCACATCTAACTAGAAGATAAAGAAGTAGAGGTCCTCTTTTGCATGCTGAAGAGGAGAAAAGAACTAATGTGTGTCTGTCACTTCCATTAATGATGGAATCTGCTGAGCTTCAGTCTGTGACTTAGTGGATCAGAGCACTCAATTCTTGAAGATGCGTTAGGTTACATGGTAACTATGAATACTTTCTCCCAGGATACAAGCTAGACAGGGAGCTGTTTTTAGGTTCCATCATCAGAAGGAACCACAGTTCTTTCTCTTTTAAAGTAGAAGTTCTCAGCCAGGGCAGCTTTGCTCCCGGGGCATATTTGGAGATATTTTGACAGTATTTGGAGATGTCAAATTCAAAGAAAATGTGAGTGGCCTCTTGTGGGTAGTGAGCTGGGATGCTCTGAACATCCTACCATGCATGTACAAGACAGTTTCACAATGTCAGGAGTGACCAAAATGCCGCTTGCCTTATGTGGAGTTTTTGGCCTATTAGTCCCGTGTTGTGACTCTTCCATAGGGACATACTGATTATCCAGCTACCTTATCATCTGTCATAGACACTTTGAACACCATTAAGTTTGCTGAATCTATCTGGGCAGTGGTGGTGCACACTTTTAATCTTAGCATTTGGGATGCAGAGAGGGTGAATCTGTGAGTTCGAGGACAGCGTGGTCTGGTCTACTGATCAAGTTCCAGGACAGGTAGGGCTACATAGTGAAACCTTGTCTCTGGGTGAGGGTGGGGTGAGAGGGTGGGTGAGTTTGCTGCATCTAAGGGCCAAATGATAACTTAGTTGCACTGCCACCTTGATTTGTTGCCTGTTCTTGCCTTGCTCCTTCTGGGTTATTTGGGAAATGTGATGAAACAGCATACTAATATGGTTTATGTTTTTTCTAGAATTTAAGCTGGCCTATCAGGTAGCTTCTGTATTATTTTTTCATTATTGTAACAAAATGCCTGACAACAAATTAAGGAAGGAAGGGTTTATTTTGGCTCACAGTTTTAGGGTAGGGTACATCATGTTGGCAGCTGGTCAAATTGTATCCACAGAAAGTAAAGATAGATGAATAGTGGTTGGCTCATTTCCCCTCTTTTACTCAGTGTGTTTCCATGGTGATTCCAAATCCAGTCATGTTGACAGTTCCTATTAGCCAGAACAACTTCTTTACAAGTGATAAAGGCTAGCTGAACCATTCATTTGAAGAATATAGTTTGGTTGGTAACATTAATGTGGAAAACTTCTAAATTGTGTGTGTGTGTGTATGTGTGTGTGCGCACACCTACGTACGCACATACATACATACATACATACAGTGGTATAAATGTAACTTTTATGTAAGGACCTTGTGACCAGTGAAATAAACATGATATTTTCAGCATAATCAACATGTGTGATATTCTTGGGTGAGATCTTCCAAGTTCGGGTAGTCTTGCCCGGTGTGGTGGTATATGCCTGTACTTTAAGCACTTTTAGAGCAGGATTACAAGTTTGAGGACAATCTAAACTAGATAGTACAAGACTCTAAGGAGGAGAAACAGTTTTTAGAGTCTAGCTTGATAGAGAGTTGACCCCACTGTTTACTGAAGGGGGATGTTCTGTATATATGTCTCTCTTATTGGTTGATGAATAAAACACTGTTTGGCCAATAGCCAGTAGAGGCAGGAAGATAGGCAGGGCTAGGAGACAAGAATGCTGGGGAGAGAGGCAGAGAAGGTGCCTCAAAGGAGACGCCATGTAGAGACTGGGAAGATAGGCCGTGCCAGGCGTTCTCTGCTAAGATAAGGCCCTGTAGAAAGACTGGGATAATAACAGATACATGGGATTACTGTATATAGGTAGATTATGTAAAATGTCTGAAATAGCACCAGTATGTTGGCTAGTTTTATGCCAATTTGGCATAATCGAAAGTCACTGGACAGGAGTGAGCCTCAATTGAGAAAATGCCTCCATCAGAGTGGACTGTAGGCAAGCTTGTCAGACGTTTTCATAATTAGTGATTGATGTGGGAAGGCCTGGCCTGTTGTGGGTAGGGCTACCCCTGGACAGGTGGTACTAGGTCTTATAAGCAGACTGAGTAAGCCATTGGGAGCAAGCCAGTAAGCAGCATTCCTCCTTGGCCTCTGCATCAGCTCCTGCCTCTAGGTTCCTCTTGTGTTCCTGTCCTTACTTCTGTCAGTGATGAACAGTGATGTGGAACCATAAGGCAAACAAACCCTTTCTTTCCTCCCCGAGTTGCTTCGATCATGGTGTTTCATTACAGCAATAGTAACCCTAACCTAAACAGCAAGTATAGTACATGCTATAAAATACTAGCTAGTGAAAATAAGCCCTGTAATAATGTACAAATCTTTAAGGAGAAATATAGGCTGAGTATATAGAAAATCTTAGAGGCTTGAGAGATGGCTTAGGGATTTAGAGCACTGACTACTCTTCCAGAGGACCTGGGTTCAATTCCTAGCACACACATGGCAGCTCACTGCAGTCTGTAACTTTAGTTTCAAGGGGACTCTGACACTTTCTGGCCTCTGCTGACACTGCACACGTGTGTTACATAGACATACATGCACACAAAATGTTCATACACTTAAAAAAGAAAAATTATAAATCTAAATAGGAAAGACATTCATTAAAAACTACTATAAGAGGATTGACAGATCTGATTAGCTATTTTCCTAATTCGTTATAAGATTTAAAAATAACTGCTTTGTATACATTTAATTATATTTAAAGTTAGAAAATGTATATCGACTTTTCTAATATTTAATGAGTTAATAATAGTCATTGTTAGAAAGGAAGAAGTGTATTGATGCTTAGATGTCTGTTCCTCTTTCATGCCCCTCAATTTCTTTGTTTTATTTTTTGTTTTAAATTGTCCCATGATGTAGCCCAGATTGACTTTTTTAGACTTGGTATCTTCCTGCCTCAGCCTCAAGTGTTGAAATTACGCAACAGGACACTTAATATCCTCTATTGTTTCCTGCTTTTTCTTTTTAGAGATTGCATTATGTATAATACCCATAAGAAAAGTGCTACACCATTTGAGTGTAGCCGGGCTTTAGTGGCACACCCCTTTAATCCCAGCACTCGAGGCAGAGGCAGGCGGATCTC